ATGGCAGTGGAATCCTCTATGTAACATGGAACACATGCATATGATAGTTTGGAGGTGAGAGAAATTTGTAATGTAATTTAATGGATTCCTGAATGGATTGCCCTTGCAACTATGTGGGACAGATGGAGAGGAAACTAATCACCAGATTGCGAGAACAGTTGAGGAGACCCAAAGTCATTGGTAGCCTCACATTGCAATGAACAAGGACATACATTTGATTTTGCAGCTACAATTATTGTTGGCTGAGCAGGGACAAATATAGCCAGAAAAACATTGAAGCCGGAGAAACTGGCCTGATGTCAGTCAATAGGAGTGCTGATTAACCATGAGCCTATGAGGTACTTATGAACCAAGGATGTGGTGGCACAAGGAAACAGCTAATAACTTAATAGCCAGCCAGCCACACCCTAATTACAACTAAAAGCTACACACAACCAGAAACCAGGATAGAACAGCCCAGTGCATATATTTGGAAGAGAGAGAAGTTCCCCAATAATGAGTTCCAGGGCGAGCCTGAAAGCTTGGAAGAGTAAACCTTTGTTCCCAGTGGCTGACTCAGATTGCACCCTTCAACATTATCTTGGGATACATATATTTATCTTCATTCTCATGAATATGAGTTGAATATTGGAAATAAAAAATAAGGTGGAAAGTTCTTTGTACAACCAGGAGTTCTTTTTGCTTTATCACAGAGTTAAGAACATTGTTTTATTTCCATAATACAATTTTATAAGAACCAAAAAGACATTGCATTCTGTAACATGATTTGGACAAACAGATGTACTGTATTTAGAAAGTTCACAAATAGAAGATCAATGTCTCTTTCTACTGAAGCGTAGCAGACAGTCATTCAAAGTTTGTTGGCTATGATTCAGATGTAGCATCAGAAATCACTGATAGCACAGCTGTTTATGAATATGCATAATCCTCCTTTAAAACTTTCTAAATAGTAGGAAGTGCTATTGTTAAGTCTGCAGAATATAAATACACTTTTCATATTTTTGCTATTCCTGAATCTTTCTGTATTTAATTTCAAAGGTTAGTGCTCTGAAAATTAAAGTAAAGAACCCATATCTTCCATGTCATTTATGATTTATGTGCTTCTGTTAAGTCTCTCCTTATTCTCTATTGGTTAAGAACAAACCCTGCAACCATTATTCATTTTTCTTGTAGGGAATTTGCTTTAGCCTTCTACTTATTTTAGATATCTGTGTTTGCTCTTTTCCAATGCTTGAGACTTTTTGAGACTTAATAATCAGTATTAGTAAAATCATAGGATGGAATATTGTGTATACCAGTAGATTTCTGGAAGGACATTCATTACTAGCAATTTTTTTTTCTAATAATTCCTAGAATGGAATTCGCTGTTTAAAACAACAACAACAACTAGACACTGTGCTAGCATTTTAAATGAACAACCCAACATGACAGCAAGACTATTTCTTGAGCATTCACACTTTCCCTGCCCAAAGACAGTACTAAAGAGGTATAGATAAAAAGTATCCCAACTTTAAGTGACTTCATATTTTTAAAAATAATTTCATTAAATATTTTAATTGCAGTAGTAATAACTGATATAAACTAAAAGAAAGAAAAATAGAAAAGGAAGGAAGGAAGGACTTCCAACCTTCATCACAACAAATATAAACAACTTTAGTAACTTCATCTCCTCTTAATTTACAAACTATGATGTCTTCATTCCATATCCCACTTCTTATCTATAAACAAACCCATAAAGCATCATTTCCTAGCAAAAGTTCATTAAGGATTATCAGAAACAACATAACTACAGTATTTTAATTTTGATCAAATAAATCAACTTTATATTCCTTCTTTTACTTCTTATAACTTAATCTTTAGTTCATTCAAGTACTGTAATGTTGTAGAACTTTTGCCTCTTCTCATAAGATTAATCCAAGCTTTAAGAAACCTCTTTTATAATCTAATATAAAACAATTATCAAGATCAATCTCTTTATTATTTGTAATTACTCCTTGATTTTTAAAGCATCAACCAATTTCTTTTGTATCCAATGAGACATCTTTTTCCATGTTATTCTTATAGCCTGTCATTTGTACATCCATTTTTAGTGTCAATTCTGTCTCTGCTGTGTCAAATAAAACTTGTTCCTCTTCTACCATTTATTCCATAACTTCTTTTGGAAATAGTCTACCCATAGAAACAAACATCACTATTGACATTATTGATATTAACTTCTGACGCCATATTTCAAAATGGTCCTTCAATATTTCCAATGTTATATTTTGTATCATTCTGTAGCTATGAATTAGTTTTATGTGTTCTTCTCCTTTAATTAAAAAGTGTAGTTCCTTCTAGCATCCAATTTTTAAAAATTGCTTATTTTCATTTGTCTTACAAAAATTCAAAACAAGTCCACTTTCCAACAACTTATTCATATGATCAACTCTCTTTAGTTAGCTCATCTCAGGAGATCCAAGAGAGTGGCACACTTCAGGTCCCTTCTATGAAATAGTACCTCCTGGCAGGACCTGGAATGTGTGTCTTTGTTACAGTGCTTGTCCTGTAGAATAGAATTTTACCCATGGTTATGATGGCTCCAGCCCTGCTGATCTTCCATAAACTTAGTTTGTCCCCTCGGCATTGGGCCAGAGCATGGAATAAGATTATCCAGAACTGAAAAAAATTGTATAGCTGTTGTTGGTCTCATATATTTTGTTTTGGATCTTGGCTGGATGGCAACCCAAGAGTAGCTCTCCAGGCTAAAGATTTGCCACCTTCAGGGTGCTGCCGTGTTTGCTGTGCTCACCCAGTCCTGGCATACCATCTGACCAGGAGGGTTGGAGAGCTGCCATTTTTGACATGCATCCAGAAACCACATGTGAGTGACAATTGAAGAGTGGCAATTGAAGAGTTGCTTACCCTCTCTTGGAGTTTAAGTGCTCCAGCCATCACTTCCATGTGATAATGCAAAGGTGGGAAGGGGAGACTGATCTTGGTACATGGAAAACTGTCACAAAAAGGACATTCACTTTTCTCTCCCCTTTGCTTCTCTTCCCGTGGATGGTAGGATAAACCATGAGGAGACAATGACAATGATGGCGTCTCTGGCGCCAGTTCTCCAAACAATGTGTTAGATTGGAAAGCTGACAGCAAGAGGTTTTTCACCCCTGTTTGTCTCGACCCCTTGGTTCTGACATAGCACCATATTCCATCTTTTTGTTGAGACAAAATCAGGAGTGGAAATGCTGCCAGCATGTTTTTCTACTGGCATACCCTATGCTGGCCTCTGCCCTCAAGAATAGTGCTTCAACACTGTTTTGCAAAATACCTCTCAGCAATGGTTTAGTTCATGATGAATGGCAGCACTTGTTTCATGGAGGAACAAGTCAATGTAGCTCTGTTTTTTCTGGCTGAGAACTATTGTATTTGACCAGTGGTAGCCATGTACTCATTTAGTGGCCTAGATTAGAGACCCTTTTATAAAATTGGAATTATATTGGTATAATAAACAAAGCTGCTGTAAAAGTGTCATTAGCTGCTTCTGTACTAATTAAATTGGGATTCTAATAAAATTAAATGGCAAAATGGTACCTTTCTTCCTATATTTTATTAAGGGCTGGAAACAGAATTATTCAGAAAGCCATTTGAGGATGGACATCTGTTTATTGGTTGCCTAGTTATTTATATATTAATTGTATCTTGCTTAATTTGAATTTATTTGTTATAGAATTTAGATAGTTTCATGGCTTTGGTTTTTGTATTGATCATTCTTAATTATATTTGTGAAAATAATTGCACATCAGCATGAGTCCTTGTTAGATATTGTAATATAGAAAAAGAGATGTACTACTACATCTGCAACATCCACTGTGCTTGTAACATTTCTAGCGAACATTTTACATTTCTAATAAATATTTTTAAGCATGGCAAAGCAATTGAACTATCAAAATACAAAAGCAGAAAATGGATGTGTGTCTATTTTCCATCTTTCTAGAAAGATAGCATGGTTAGTTTCCAGATAGCATGGTTAGTTTCCAATTTATTCTTTGTCAAATGCTTTTTTCCTGTCAACTGGTAGATAACAATAAACTATCAACATCTGTATTCCCTGTTATCTATATAACTTTATTTTAAAGGTTATCAAGTAATGCTTTCTATAATAGAAAAACAGCATATTTCCTATTTAGAATAAAAACAGACAAAGACACTGAATAGCTGTTGCCTGTAAATACAATTGAAGAAATCAAGGTTAAGGTGTATCCTGACAAATGGTGTCATGTTATATATTGAGAGAAATATGACCTTGCTAATTTGGAACTACTGTATCTAAAAATGGTTGCAGAGCCGGCTGATAAGGCTTGCAGATAACCTTTATGCTCAGAGGTCAAGAAGCAAGAGACATGTGACTCGTATTTAATCATTGACTATATTCAGAAGTATGCTAGTCATTCTTTGCTTTCATAGGTTGACATCTTGCCATTATCTTTAGGGTGTTAGCTCTATCTCACTTCATTGGCTAACTAGTAGCTAGATAAGAAATACTCAAGATTCTCATCAACAGATCAGTGGCAGCTAATTTTAGAACAGCGGTCGGATAAGAAAGGAATTTAAATGAATTTCATTGACTTTGACACATCTGATTGTACAATACACATAAAAAATAAGAAAGCAATACAGGTTAGGAAATGCTTTTGTCTTTAACAAAGATATCTATATCTGTCCCCCTGAACGTGCATCATAAACTGGATACAAAATACAATTGCATGAATGTTATACCATTAGTTATTGATGCACTAGACTGATTTTTTACTACACCAAAGAGCTGCAGGACTGGCATTTGAGATTAGTTTTCTTTCCATATTTGTGGAAATTCACTCAGTGTATCATGCAATCTTAATGTATTCTTTTAACCAAATTTATACAACCAAAATGAGCGAATGTGCAACCTTGCTAACTGGAATTCAGCTTGATGCACAAATTAAATAAAGCTAATTTTGAGTTTTAAATAATTGTTTAATTTTTTACTAGGAATAATTTATTCCTAGTATTATTCATGTACTCTTTTTAGACAAACAAGTATGATATTTCAAATATTGCAGATAAACAGATACACATAGTGCCTCTCCAAAGGTGACTTTATGAGTTCATGGTTGAGGTGGCATTTGAGTCATAGACTTCCTTCTTTATTTACATTCTTTTTCACCTTATTTAAATTTAGGGCAAATGCATGGCCTATTAAGCATCATTCACTAAAGGTAGCATTAGTTCACTGCTCAACTAGTAAACATGATTATTACAGCTCTTCTCCAGTTCTCTTTCTACCCTCCCATCTGCGTCCAGATAACAATGGTTTTTCCTCTTACCTGTGATGAGAGCTTCAGCTGTTGCCATGTGCATCAGAGTATTGTCACTTACTGGCCATTTATCAGAGGACAAGACCAGGTTCCCGAGTCCTCCAATTTCTTTTAATTCCTCTTGGATCTTTGCACCTAAAGCATTGTTTTCCTGAATAAAATTTCGATAGCCCAAAGCATCTCCTACCCCTGCTAGTAACAAAGCAGCCTTAAATTTCTCCATTGTTAAATGACGTGCTTTTTCAGTTCTCTTTGGTCTCAAACAGGCACTTGATGTTTCTTTGTTCCTTTGCCTTCTAGCTTAGATTAAGCAACACTTTATATTGGAGCCATTGTGTCATTGCAAAGAACTGTCCGTATAAGGGAAGCCTGGCCTTTCCTGGCATGCATATGCCACTGCTTCCCTGATAGCCAATGGTCAAGATAAAACTGTTAAGTCCAAATATTTTCCCATTTATTTTTAAGCTGCAAGCTTAGATAGTGTGCAGAGCACAAGTAAGTGTAGTTGCAAAACTCAGAAGCCCCAGGACAAAACAAGCCAATAAATATTTGATCTCTCCAGTTTATGTAACTCTATCCCTTGAGAAACACATGTTGAATTAAGAGACTTATTTTTAAAGCTGTTCAAATTGGTACATTTCTGGAATCACAGAAACATGTTTATTTTATGGACATTACATTCAGAAGATCTAAACATTGAGAAAGTAATTCAAAAACTGTAGTGGAACAAATCTCTTGTCTAATCCCTACATTTAACTGAAGCAGCCATAGATTTGTCTGTATATCAAATGCTGTCTTATTGCAAATTTATATTATGATATAAACAATTGGAACTGATTTTCCTGCTCAGCAATTGTGCATTAGAATCAGTTTGTTGTGCATATACATAGATGAATTATTCTGCACTTCTCAGAAGAGATTTCACTGATGTTTTTTATTCCCATCTTCTTGTCTTTCTTCCTTGTAAAACCTGACAGGATGTTTGTGTGAATGATAAAAATAACTAAGTAAGTTTTAGATTACCTCACAATGAAAAGATAGAAGTTGTAATTATTAATTTAAAATTGATAGGTTTAAATGTAAATTGTAAACTGACAGTTTTGCAGACGTGTGAGGATATTTACAAAGCAGGTTACAAAATAATAAAAATTATCATGTAGCAGTATGAGGTTTGGCATTCTTGAATGATTTCCTATTATAATAATGCAAACTTTATTTTAGAAAGAAAACTATTTTATTATTAACAATGCCTGGGAAGATGCAGCTTCCAAATACAAGTTTACTATTCTTTCAGTAAATATGTTTCAATTTTTCAGTAATAAAGCTGGAAAAAAGATAAAGAATTTTAACTGTTGCAAAATAGTGCTAATTTTTATTCCAAGTCATGAGTCTTTGGCAGAGAATTTAAAAGGGTTGGGCAGTGCCTTCCAAAAACGTACTTTTTACAATAAGCTGTGACTAAGGAAGTGAAGTAGCTGGACATCCATATGCCTGGAAACAGCCATGACAGCCTTGAAAAAGATATGATTGCTTTAACAACCTCTTGTAGATTGTGAAGCATCTCCTTAAGACTTGGAATTTAGTTTTCAAAAGAAAAAATGCACTGATGCTTATTATGGTCAGCCCCATCATCCTGTACTGGCATTTCCATTGTTACAATCCCTGCACTATGAAGTTACAAAGCTATTATGCAATTACTGGATAAATCCTGTGGCACTACAGAAGAACCATGCTGGATTTGCCCTAAAGAGCTGGACAAATTCCAAATGGCTTGTCTTATATTGGTCTAGTTTTTCTCTTTCAACCTGTATCAAACTGAAATTTTGATCTGTTTCATGGGATTTTTGTGAAGAACAGATAAGACAACATATTATATTTGATACTAACGATCTTGAAGATACCATCTTCCAATTTGAATTGACTTTGATTTAAACACGTGTACTGATTGAAGAGTATAAAATCGTATAAAGTGTAAACGAACATATTCCACTAGTAAAAAGTGAATGCACAACTTTGTTTCAAATAAAACAGTTCCAACAAACCTCATAATATTTATGCTGCAACAAGATCAGCAGTTGAATTCAATCAGCTTTACAAGCTGTGTGTGAGGACCATCAGTAACCACCTTTGCTCAATCTTGGTTTTTCATTTCCTATAAGCATAGAAACCTCAATGTTGCAATGATAGGAGGAAATATTTATCTTCACTTTAGCTACTGTTACATTTTAGAATATTGCTCATTGTAGGAAAGTTTACAAGTTTACATTTCTTAAAACCCCCAATATGAATAGTTTGATATTGTTATAATAGGAATGCAAGAGAAAATAAATTAACTCTAATAAAAAAATGGTAACGTCTGGAATACGTGATTGTTTCCTTAGCTCTTGAATTAAAAGAATAAACTGTAAAGATGACTATTAGAAAACATTAAAACTAATTTTAAGAATGTTTAATATCACATTTAATGAGTTTCAAAGCCAAACCTTTGTAAAGCTTTCTTTTTAAAAAAAAATTCATTTGAAGAAGTTCAGTGAGGGATACTGTTGTATTTGAGGATGCAACAAAGTAGTACAGTAGCCTTTAGTATTGCTATATTTGTCTGAGAGCAACAAAATGAAAAATAACTGAGTTACTGACATCTAGTGGTAGAATGAGAGATAACCCATTTCTCACATTTCTATAGCTAATGTTTCCAACCCTCGAAATAAAAATTAAAGTGATTGCTTTTAAGTTGCAGTTTACACTGTACCATGCTGAAGTTTTTTAAAATTCATGCATAATTCCACTTTGAATTTAGCATACATGTTCTCTGTGTCTGTTTTCACAATGACCAGTTACACAATGAAGAGCAGAGTTAGTTTTAACAATCATGTGGAAGACAGAATTTAAAAAATTATGCAGGATCTAAAAATATGTCTATTTTTATCACCTATGCTATATAGGAGGCACAACAGCCACTTTTTACATTTGCCATTCCTTTTATTATTTGAAGCCAGACAAAAGGAAAGCCATACGGTAGTGCTAGCACAGAAGCAATTCACTTTCGGTCGGGATCCTGAGTCAATAACCACTAGTAGGCAACATGCTATTTCTTTCTGACTAGTCCTTTAGAAGTTGCTTACCACCCTGAGAATACTTTAATACAAACCACAAAATAATTTTGCACAATTATTTCTGCCTGATATTTTTAAGTAGCTTCAATTTTGGTTGAAAATTAAGCAGACAGTGATAGCAGCAGAATTTAATTTGAGCTAAAATGTGCCTGCACTTCACTCGGTATATTTAAAATAATCAAGGCTTCTTTATTATTAAATACATGCCAAGGTTGCTGATGCTTAAAGCCATGTTGCTGCAGTCACCCTTTTAATGGAGCTGTCTATGGTCAATTTTGGATATAACAATATTATAATCCAGGCTGCATCCCAAAATAACCATCTTGTCTATTATTTGGGAAAGCCGTCTAAACAGTAGGGCATGTTTTTCCAAGAAAGTGCTACCCAAACTGCAGGTAGGAGTAAGAGGCATCCCTGAATCCTTCTTACAACTGTCTTACTTCCTAAGAAGGAGAGGGAAGGAATGAAAGTGCTCAGGGGGCAGGCAGGAAAGCTGCTAGGAAGAGGGCCTGAGTAGGCAGTGACTGAGAAAGGGCAGGTAGCAGTGGACCACTGTGATATGCAATGGGACAGAAAACAGCAAAGCAGGGGGGCTCTGGCTTGTGCCCCAACAATGCTTCCTTATGGAGAGCAGTTAGAGAAGCAGGACTGATAAAACTTCCTTAAGTCTGGCAATGAGAATGATGTCCCTTAGAGAGTTGTCATCAAAAGTTGGTTCCTGAAAAAAGTCTTTTTTTCTCACTGTAATTAACCTCCAGGAAGAGAAAAAAAAGAGAAATAGAAGCATCTGGGTGTATGGAAATTGCTTTCCACAAACAAACCATTAAATCGTGTGAATGAGGAGTACAAACTTCATTTGGCATTGGAATGAGGAAAACATTTTTTTTTTAAATGGAGGTTGTAATAAATTTTTTTATAAACACAGAATCCTGCATCAGGAAAATAAATCAATAAATATTGCATTGTATTCTCTCAACATCTTTTAGACATATATAAAAATACCACATACCACATGTTTGATTTAGAGATTTAATTTATATATCACAAATACTGCTTTTAATATAAGTACAATATAATACAGTTGTATTTATGTAACTGCTGGTGTTCACCCTGTATTATGAACTGAATGGCATGCTGTGCTGTTAAAATTTTACTAAAATGGCCTCTAGTTAAACTTTTCCAAAGTATAAAATCATGCAAAATCTACATCCTATATAATACAACCAGTACAGTAATTGAAGCCAGTATCCTACAGATAGCCTGGGCTATCTTTTGAATTTCTTCTTGCCGTGTCCATGAGTCAGCCATCATTTTCTTGCAGCAGAAGTAGCGATTTCTGTTTTGTCAGTGGCATCCCACCTCAACTTTTGAAATCGGAGACAGTGTGTGCACAGTTATTGGCCAAAAGTCTTCATTACCCGATGCAGTTCAGACTGCAAAATTAGTCCACTGAGAAGTCATGGTTAGGAAACTTTACGTTTTCCTCCTGTGACTACTGGTCTTGCGTATTCCACAAAATCATCTATTAGGACTGGCCACGCTCCTAAAGACGAATTAAACAATTTTGAATAAAGGCTCTGAATATTTACAGCAATCTAATCTTATAGTAATCTGTACCACTAAAGTCAATTACTGCCCCATTTCTATTCTTCTCAGGCAATTCCAGTCAACAGGAATAGGGAAGAGAATGGCTGAGGGCTCAGTCCTCTTCTTCACATTATTTAGCAACTACGTAAAAGTGCTAGAAGTCATTTGTTGGTTGTGAACACATACCATCAAAATTCTAATGAACACAAGTATATCTCTCTCAGCTGGATTACACAAGAGATGCAGTGGATGTCCTGTCCTGATACTGGAGGCTGGTCAAAAAAGGATCAAGCTGAATCCCAGTAAGGTAGAATCATTATTCAAAAATTATAAACCTTTTTAAAAGCTCCAACTTTGATTCTGGATGAGGTGGCTCTCCCTTTGAAAGCCCAGGCCTGTGATCTAAAGGTTCTCTTGGACTTGTAGTTTTTCTGTCACATTGCCTGCCCTTTGGAATACCATAACCACCAAGATTAAATTGATCCCAATCCTGCTGGACTTTCCAAAAAGCCTGACAGACTTTGATGTGTTCTCACACATGGGGGAATCAAGAAATTACCTGGAGCCCCTGAGGTATTTTTATTTGATTAGATTTGTTTTTATCTTAATAGTCATTATGATTTTTTTAGTTTGTATGGTATTTTTATTTATTGCTAACTCCCCAGAGTCATTATGGCAAGATGGGCAGCCCTATAAATCTAAATCTATAAAATTAAAGCATCTTCTTCATGGGAAAATATAACAATAATCTGAAAAAAGACTTTTAACACCTAATTTAAATACAGTGTACATTAGCTACATTTTAGAATGACAATTCTTTGCAATACATACATACATACATACAATAGAAAATAAAATTTATAAAAATTATAAACAAATAAAAATTAACTCGTATTCATAGGAAGTCACTAAAATAATGGAAACCAAATTAATCTGACTGATTATGTGAGAGCTAGCAACCTATGACCCACAGGCAAGATGTGATCTACCACCCATAATCATCTGGCCCATTGTCCCAAAAAGAAATATATTTACCTGACCTGTAACAGAGAAGGAGGGAGTGTTTGCCACCTCCTTCGACAGCCATTTTGGTGACACTCATTCACCTCAGCACAGGAGGAACAGTGAAAATAGCATGGCTTCTGGCTCCAATGGAGAAGAAGGTTGCCAACCCGCTTAATAACTACATTCCAAATATTGCTAATCGGGTATATAATTAAAAGTAGAATTTTTAAAGACAATATTTCAAAACAATATTTAAGTCTGAATATCTACATCACTTACCTTCTTCATCATAGTTTGACATATCATCTGCAATCATATTTCCAAAGTCTAAAAGTAGGTTCCAAGTATCCTTAGGGATTGATCTTTTATGATGCTCCTATGTAAGAAAACAAATCTAGTTATCAATTCAATTTAGATTTACAGATTTAGTAAAATCTTTATTGAGAAGATACTGACCAGAATTATTAGAGTAGGAGACTAAAATAAATCAAGATGCAATAATTTTACAAGTTACAGTAAAATTACTGTAAAACATCAACTTTATGGACCCCAATCAAAAGAATTTTGTAATAGACAAAATCCATTATTTTGAAATTGACCCAGAAATAATGGACAAAATATGTAGTTTTCAAAGCAGCTTGCACAACTGATGCAAATGATCTTAATTATGTAATTATGCAGATGACACATTGGTGAATTGCCCCCAATTTGCTATCAATAAACTCTAATGCACAAACCTTCTTCCCATATGATCTGTTACACAAATTTATTATATTCCTATTCAGAATTTGCACAAACACACTTGGAATACTCCTGCAGGGTACTTACCAATAAAAATTTATTCCAAAGATCTAAAAATTTAAATCTTCCTGATAACACTAAATTCCAATATGCAATTGCCATTTCTAGATCTGAAAGACATAAATGTATTTTATAATCCACATTATTAGAGTTTCCAATATCCCCACCTAGGCAGAAAAGTATGAAAGAAAATATGTGGTTTTATGTTATATATGGCAAGAAAATTCAGTACAGGTAATCCCTTGACTTACGACCACAATTGAGCACAAAATTTATGATGCTAAGAAAGATAGTTAAGTGAGTTTTGCCTTATTTTATAACCTTTCTTGCCACAGCTGTTAAGTGAATCACTGAAGTTGTTAATTTAATAACAGATGAAATGAATCTGGCTTCCCTATTGATTTTCCTTGTCAGAAGGTCGCAACACATGGTCACATGATCCCAGGGTATTGAAATCATCATAAATATGAACCAGTTGCCATCCAAATTTTGATCACGTGACTATGGGGATGCTGCAACGGTTGTAAGTGTAAAAAACTGTCATAATTCATATTTTAGTGCCATGTAACTTTAAACAGTCACTAAGTGAATGGTTGTAAGTCAAGGACTATCTGTAGTTCTATAGATTTTAAGTTACATTTTTAAAAAACACAGTTTGTGCCGGTACAAATTCTAAGCCATTTCAAGGTTTAAAAATAAATACGCATAAGGCCTGTAAATACGGAATGGGTCTAATGAGGTCTCACGGCCTCGTTTGTCCTACCATGCTGTATATTAGATGTGTGATATACAAAACATCACTCTTCCTTGTTATTATGTTATGACACTATAGCTCAAACAACATTTCACCTTATTCATGCAAATTATCAACCCTTTTACTACAGTCTTTTACTACGAGCTCCCAAGTTGTAATGTTGAATGTGACAGAAAAGGAAATTATTAAATACATGGAGAATAACCATATTTATTTCAACTATCACAGAATAGTTTTTCTCCTGTCTTATCTCATTTTTCAGAATGTACCCCAACTATTCTACTAAAAACTTTCTTTTTTACATAATAGTCCAATGCATGTTTACTTAGAAGAATGTGAGTAAAAGACTACACAGCGTTCTAGTCTTATATTGAAATTTATCAGACGTATTTCTCAGAGGTTATCATTGATACAAGTGCACTGCTCATTATTTTGAGCTATCTCTACTGTACACAAACTGAAATCTGGGGAGAGATTACCAAAACAATGCATATTTTTACAAATATACATACTAATCTTTATTTATTCTGCATGTACTTTCATGAATTAACCAGATCATTCTTTATTATTCCTAAGATTAAAATAATTTTATGGAAACAGAATTTGGATTTGTCAATATAAACGAGACAAATATTTTCATACTCTTACTTATGCTAATATTTTCCCTAGATGCATACATTGCAGTGAAGCTTACTTGAAAATGTATTTTTAATTTCTATTAATGATTTTTAAATACAATAGAAAAATCAATTATCAATTAAACTCACAAAAATAAAAATAAAAAGTGAATAAAAAAGAAAAACAGAAAAAAGGAAAGAAGTAAAAAGAAATATAAAAAGAAATATGTAAAAAGAAGTGACTTCCAATCTTCATCAGAAGGAAAAACAAATTTGATAACTTATCACCTCCCTATAAATTTACAAATATGTATTTCTTCTTCCCATAATCTATCCCTTCTATATGCAAAACCATAAATCATCAACTTTGCAGTTCTGGGGTCAGCAAAAAGTCCATTGCAGTTAACCAGAGCTTTATAAAAAATAAACCAGAGCTTTATTTTAACCTTGATCAAAAAAACCAGCTTTATATTCCATCTTCTACTTGCAACAATCTTGATCTTTGATTCATTCAAATGTTATATGTCTTTTTCCTATCCCAAAGACTTCTTCGAGGCTTTCATAGATCTGTTTTGTAAATCCAGCGGAAAGTCATTATCCAGGTTTGTTTTTTGTATTTCCCTTTTGATTTTTCAAAACCTTAACTAGCTTCTTTTGTATATTCAATAAAAAGTCATTATCAGGGTTGTTCTTTATATTTTATAATCCACACTTTTCCTATCATTTGTATTTCCAATTTGCATCTCTTGTCTGATTTGTAATCCACACTTTTCCTATCATTTGTATTTCCAATTTGCATCTTTTGTCTGTTTTGTAATTCACACTTTTTAAATCCACTATTTCTGATTCCAGTATTACTACATCAAACTTTTTTTTCACATGTGTCATTCCTTCATCAACATCTTTTAGGCCAACTCAATCCTTAGAAGCAAACATTGTTACTGATATTGTCGCTACTAATTTCTGGCCCCATACTTCAAATATCTCTAATATTTCAATTGGTATAGTATTTTGTATCTTTTTGTAAATCACAATCTTAAAGGCAAGTTTTTTTTCTTTTTTCCCCCCGGAACATTTGTCCCCTCTGGTGTCCAATTTAAATCAAAAGGTCTCTTATCTTTGTTATGACTGGAAATAGTCAAAATTCTGGTTCTCACAAAAATCCATTTATTTCAAATTGAGTTAATTTTTGATTTGTTTAGAAATAAACTCACCAGGTGATTTTTAGACTGAAGATATTTAAATAAGCAATTTCCACATATGATTAGAAGTTAGTTTAGCAAATTTAGTGTCCTTAAAGGTGCCAGCTGGTGCGTGTGAGCTTGATGATTAATTCCTTTGTTTCCTGGCACTCAGATCTATTAGAGACCACTATCTTGCAGTGTCCTCACAAGGACAAACCATCCAAATCACATTTGAGTGATCTCCGGTCTTCTTCTTATCTGGACAGGTTCCAAAGAACTGGTCTACTCACCGGTTCTTTGGTCTTTGCCGTGCTTGTTATCTTCACTCTCCACAGAGATGTGTTTAGCTTGCCATGCCTCCACTGGAAGTTGACAATATATAATCCTTCATTAAAAAAAAATAAAACTATACCTATTGAGACAGCTTTTTGCCCCCAACTCAATCAGTGGAAAGTATGCACAAAACAGAATAGACATTTGAGTACTAATATCTGTGTCTCTGAATAGAAATTACATTGACAATAAGCTCCTGAATGAAAGGCAGAATATAAATTTAATAAATAAATAAATTATAGATAGATAGATAGCCCATACCAATAAAAACAAATCAGTGGAACAGCTGAAAATTTTAATAGTACATACTTGCTTGAATTTTTTTTTTAAATTAAATGCATTATCAAATAACATGCCAACCAAAGACAGGACAAATTTGAGAATGTTTTTGTTTTAATAAATTATAGTGTATTGTGAATAAGCATGGAGCCTTGTACAGATATGCCCATCTTTTCTCCATATTTTGATACTTTAAATATCTCAGACAAAACATAAGTTCAATTTGCATATTTATTCCAAACTTAAGTCAAAATCAAAAGCTACATAAACTTTCAGCTTAAGGAATGAGCAGCCAAATAGATATGACAACATGGGCTTAAAGCATGGCATATTAAACCAGGCGTTTTAAATCTGAATCGGGTCTACAATGAAAAATGGACATAACAGGAATAACTGTTTCCTTTACATATACTGGACAGTAAATTTTTCTTTTGTTTATAAACGGGGGAAAAATAGTTTTGGCAACCATCACTATGCAACTGTCTGCATACATTTCTAAGGATCATCCAGTCCCTAAAATAGTATGGTCAAAGCTTAATGGCGTCTATGGTAAAATATTAGATATGTGCTGAGGTACCACACTAAGGAAATACCTTTATTGCACTATGACATTGTAACCATTTGTCTTGTAAATCTACAAATGATTGTCCTCCTTGAAAATTGTTCATGCACGATGACTATACTGTACTCATTTCACTTGATATATCATTTGTTTACAAGGTAAACAATGGTAGCTACAATATTATATATAACATGATATGCTTTTCTTTAACCAATGAATTCCAAAAACTCTAAGCAACTTCTAAATTCTAGAGTAGACTTTCTTGAAGCAATCTACAAAAGTGGTATGCCAAATCAATTTTAATTTTAACTTAAGTAACTGTGATATTTAAGTATTTAGTGGAATAAAACCATGAGAATGAATCTAAGAGCAATGCTCATTTGCCATGAGTGACAATTCTTCCTAATTTACCAAGTCAATTCCAAGCAGCTAAAAATCCCCCAAAATAAGATTACAAAAGTGGGTTTGTATTATATTTGATTATCATACTGCTTTCTCAAAAATACCTACTAACTATAGTCTTTTCTTATCACATTTTGTTGTGACAAACAACAAATATGACAACAATACCGTAATTTGTTTTGTATATAAATGCATGTTCAGTGTAAACTTGAAATATTTCCTTCCCAGGATAGCATGTGCTATCTTTTGCATGGCATTCACAATCCGTATATGTCTCTAAAAGATAAGGCTAGCATTCCTTTGGTGCATTAGATTATTTTAAGAGAGGATCTGAATTTTGAAAGTTAGCTCCAATTTCTGTCATAACTACTGTTTCTAATGCCATGTTTGTACACATTAAATAGAAAGAAATTCTAAACCAGACTAGCTTTATCCATGTGCAGTCCAACTGGATTCCAACTTTGCTTAATCTGTCTATGATATATTTCTTTTATCAAATATAACCATTTATATATAATAATATATAAGAACTAGAACACAGTTAGTTGCCTTAACACAGGATGCACAGTTTAAGGTCCTGGAAAACTGAAACATTTAACACAGCCTCTAAACATTTAATATTTAAACACATTTAATTCATAAATGTGCAAAGAAAAGATAAAAATTAAACTATTCCAACCATATGGCATCATAGTAGCATACAAATCAACTAAAGTCCTCCAAAACATCCTAAGTAAACCAAAAGAACCAACAGCCCCAGAAGGAAAAGCAGGAGTCAACTACAACCCACAGGGCAAAGACTATGTAGGACAAATAGACAGAAGACTAGCCAAGCTCACCCATTAACACCAACTAGCAGTTAGAAGACATAATGAAAACTCCTTAATTTCACAACATATGATCAGACTTAATCATAATTTAACTTGGGAACTGTGAAGCCAAGTCCAAAAACGCCAAAGAGTTCCTAAGTTTGGTACATAGACAAATCAGCCATCAACAGGCACATAGAAATAAACAACATCTACATACCATTCAAAAGAAACAATAAACAAAAAGGAAACAAAAAAGACCAAAACACCTCATCAGCAATCAACACCCAGGTGAGCAGAGATTAACACGAAGATTAATACTCAATAATCAAGAAGCAAATAATACCCCGATCAAGAACTACCAACCCAGACAAACAAGGGAACAGGTAAACAACCACCAAGACCACCCCCACTAACAGATAGGGCAAGCTATTAGTATATAAAATAAGAGCAAATCCCACTCTTCTAGCATTGATAATGTTACCTAATTTGATAATGAAATGTCTGCAAGAAAACAACCAAGCTCACAGCACCAAGGGCCCTACAGACCATAAACCTATCCATCATTGCCTTAGCTAAAGGGGCCAATGAATGAAAAACTGAAACAAATGTTTTTATATAGAAAAAGAAAGAAAAGCCACCAGAGTCTGCTGAAATGTACAAACTTGTCTTTGAGATGTAGCAACTTAGATTTATATACAACATGTATGCTAATTTAGTATGAGAGACCAGAAAGAGAAAGAATATTGTAAAAGAAATTCGTTTCTGGAACATCATAAAAGTCCACATGTTTTGACTGAATATCCTAAATTCTACTCGACAGAATTGCCAAAAGCTGTAAGAACTGAGATTTTAAAAACTATTATTGTAAAGATAATGGCTAATATATTGATTTCTACTTAAGAAAAAACTGTAATATACTATTCCATTATCAAGATATTTGTCTATTTTTAAAATAATAATGTGACATTTATTATTCAAAACATGTAAGTTAAACCATTCACTTAGCCATGGATCACAATAATGTTGCCTTCCCTGCCAACCTAATATCTCGCCTAAAAAAATTTACAAGTGAGTCTCACCTAAGCTTTCATTTTGTTAAATCATATTATAAAATCTCTTATTGAAAACACAATAATTAAAAAAAAAACTCACCTAAACCTTTTTGCCCAGGGTTTTTAGCAAAGTTAAAAGTAAACTGATAAAAATCTTTAAACTTCATTGGATCCTTTAATTCTTGTTCCAGTCTTGGCAAAAGTGTTTTTAACTTGTCTGTGGTATCACACCTGGTAAAAAGATGCTACTTTTCAGTTTATTCAGTATCAATTATATTGTTTTAGAATTTTGAAATATAAATATAAAAGTTATAAAATATTTGTTTAAAAATGGGAAATTGCAATATACAAGAAATAGTTCCATTTTAAGACTAATTCAGTTGATGTTAATATAATAAACTTATATTATTCCATAATATTTCATTTAGCTGGTGCTGCATAATTCATAAAATACATATTCATTTTTATTACATATAGATTTTGCAAATAGGCAGCTATAATAAGTGCAGTAAAATAAAGGCCTTTTACCCTTATCAGGATTAAAATATGGTGTAAGGGCATTTATATGTGGTCAATAAATACGATAAAGGTATAACACACTCTTCAGCTTAGTTTCCTACAATAGTCTCTACTTCCATGTTAACATTCTCATACTGTAATTTAACTTGAACTATTGTTTTATGCTATTTTTCTGCCAATAGATAAAGTAGATCAAGTATATATGTAAAATTGAAAACAGTAATTCTTAACTAAGAAATCATCATCTTATAACAAAATCACCATAGGCAGCTATCCATTCTCCACTTACTGTACTTCTGATAATGATAAAGTCCAATTTTAGTGAGCAAAAAACAAGAAAATTCATCTGACTTCCTAGTAAGCAATGTGGGCAAAAATCACATCCTTGTGACAGCATTAATATTATTTAAATTTAATTATTAGTGTATTTTATTTTTAGGTGCACAAGCAAGTCATACTGAGATTTTATAATATTTGTTCAGTATTGTCTTATACAGGTACTCAACTTACAACAAACAGTCCTTGTACTTACAACCATTGCAGGATCATGGTCACATGATCAAAATTCTGTCACTTGGCAATTGACAGCTGCAGTGTCCCAGGGTCATGGGATCACCATTTGTGACCTTCCCAGTTGGCAAAGTCAACGGGGGAATCAGGATTTGCTTAACAACCTCATGATTCACGTAACAACCACAGTGATTCACTTAACAATTGTGGCCAAAAGGATGTAAAATTGGGCACAACTCGCTTAACAATTGTCTTACTTAGCAACAGAAATTCTGGTTCTAATTGTGGTCATAAGTTGAGGATTAGATATCTGATCTGTATACAAACTACTTGTCCTAGGATTGTAACTGAATTACAGCTTTTTGTACAGGTGTAAGATCAACAATTAAGCATTTGCTGGGAAATTTAAATCAGCTATGGTTTTATTTAAACACAACGGGTAAGTATAACCATTTGGTTAGGTGACATCAACATAGCTACAATCCATGGTGACTATGGAAAAACACCTGCCATCGCAATCAGTGAGAATCTATGGGTCTTTTAAGGCACTCTTATTTCTTGATGACATTTATTGTTCTTTTCTGCTACTTTGTTCAACTTTCTCAAGCATGATTGTTTTTACTAGTTTGCTGACATGATATTCTCTAATTATGTAAGATTTTGTTTAGTGAGCATTGTTTAATGGAGACAATCAATCTTTATTTAGTCCAGTGGATGTCATTTCCTATCTTCTTAAAATTTAACATTTAGCCAATTTTTTCACTTTCCCTAGTGAAAGTTCCCTAGAAACTAATGTTATCTTTCAAACTGTTAGTGTTTCGACCTTCAACTTTAATTCCATGTCTCATCCCTTCCCATCTTGCCATTCATATAATCTATTTTCTGTGTAAATTAAACACATTACTTTCGCTTTATCATCATATTCATCTGAATAGTGCTGATATTTGAAATGATAACTTCAACAAATACTTGTATTTCATCTAGTATTTTGCTATAGTACTGCAGTTTGGACCAATATATTTTTGTAAATCCACCTTTCCATCCTGAGTGGGCATGTGTAATTGTAGTACTACCATGTCACTTTTTGCGTTCATCCACTGTCTGGTAAATGTTCAATGATCCATGTCCATTTTTATTTCAATTTAATACCATTTTTATAACAAATGTTAGAGCATTACACCAATTAAAAGATATAAGGACAATTACAACTATTTCATTTCTTCTTGATTTGGGACAATTCTACTTCTCCAAATTTAGATTTTATTGTGGCTTCTTGTTCTATGTACAAGGAACTAATAAGATTTCTTGGAAAAATGATACAATATTCTGGCACACTTATTAATTTTAATATTGTGCACATTCTGACAAACTCTGCACAAAGGTCTCATTATATTTAATAAAACACAGGCAAATCTTATAAATTTGCTTGGCCTCCCTATTTACACTGTATATGATCTTACATCCCTTGGCCTCTTCAGACATTAGAAAGGTGATTGGATCTCTGAAGTTGGAGGAGCTGTTCCCTTGCTGTGGCAGAACCACTTCCCATTGAAATTTAGAGTTACAGCAACTATTCCTTTCGCTGAGGAAACACCAGGATAATCCTCCTTGGAATGAATAGATCTCAATGGATTCCAGAAAACTCTAGATCTTTTAGCTAATATGATGGATGCTCCTGTCAAAGGTCTTGATTATTCTGTAAATGCAGATGTGACTTATGCAGTTGACACAATAAGCAATTTGGAAGGCAGTTATATATAGAAGTTAAAAAAAAAATCAAAATTTGATTAAATACTAGTAAGAGCTCATTATTAAAGACTACTATATGGCAGGGATGGAGGTAAAGAACCAGAATTTCTCTGCGTGCTTTGGGCATTACTAAGAATGGCTCAGCATAAAGTTTCACAGAATCCTTGATAATACAATGTGGTGTGCTGGCTTTGAGGATAAAATCAATTATACATATACTTAAGACTCAGCATTTCTGACAGTTCAATTTATAAAAGTCTTTTTTTATGACTTTCATTTGTTAAATTCTGATGACAAAATGCTTGATAGAGATTTACCTCCTCACTTGACTTTAGCTACTATAGCTTATTACATCTGGCAAGATGGGAGTATTTGGGTGGAGGTTATAAGCTACTTAAGAGATATTTTGTCATACTGTAGCGCATTTGCATTTTAGAAGTAACGTTTGTTTGATACCTTTCATTCCAATCTCTTTTTATGTTTTTTTTAATAAACTTGAACTTCATCAGTGAAGGAGCGGGCCTTCAGTCATAAAGACTATGATGAAAAAATTCAGATCTAGATCTGAATAAGTATAGCCTTCTGAATTCCCTTTTATCTTCCCTAAGGTTTAACATCTGCATTAATCTGTTCAGCGAGGTCATTCAGAAATTTAGAGTAAAATATTACTATGTTGCTGATGTACAACATTCTTGTTTTCATAAAATCCAGTGAAGAAACAAAATGCTGTACTTGGTCAAAGTAATTGGGTGACAGTCAAGAAAGCTCAGTCAAGACATAGAGATGCTATTGGTAGATGGTTTATTTGTCTAGATGAGTAATGTACAGCCTATTTTAAAAGAGATTGCATTCTTCCTAATTTAAAAAAAATCTATATCAATCTGGGTGAGTTGTAGTGCTATTTTGACACAGACAGTTTGCCTGTGCTAATTTATGCCCTGATAATGTTTTATGTAAATTACTGTGTGTTTTATATGAGACTAATCTTCAAGGTGGGCCAAAAACTACAATTAGTATTAAATAGTTCAGCCAGGGTATGAATTGGAATTAGCACTAAAGTATGAAAGTAAACTTATCTTACATGGTTATTGGCAGCTCCAGTTTGCTCGTAATTCAAGGTATTAGTAAAAATTTGTATAAGTTTTCATAGTTTGGGATCTTAATGCCTGAAATAACAGTATTAATTGTATGTTCCCATCCATCATCTGAGATCATCTTCAGGGACTTTGCTTTGGATGCCTTATAGGCCAAGATGTCTACAGCAGATACTTGGGAATGGGCCTTTTCAGTGGAAGACTCATCTCTGGAAAAGTATTCTGAGTGAATTATACTTGGTACTAACTTTTTTTGGGGGGGGGGGGGGGTTAGAGCCAATGACATTTTTATTTTTCCAGGCATTTTAGTCATCTTAATCCATATGTTGAACACATAATTAATTTAGTAATTCATTAATTACCCTTAATTAATATTACCCTTTTAAACTATAGCTATAATAATGTCTAAATCAGAGTTGAGAGTCAGGGCTGAATACATACCAAGAATACAGATAGTCCCCAAATTAATTGAGCCCGGAATTATAAGACATTGCAGTTGTAAGTCAAGGCATGATGTGCCTACCTGATTATTTGACATTTTTTGTGGTGGTAATTTAACAAACACTATAATTCTTAAGTAAACACTGCTGTTGCTAAGCAAATCAATTTTCCTCAATGGATATTTTTTTGCTGCAAACCAGAATCAAATGCCAGAAACTGAAAAAAACATACTACAAATCATGGTCACATGACTGCAAATCACTGCAAACAGTCACAAAGTTAAACCAGCTGCCAAGTGCTCAAAATGTGATTCTATGACCAAATGGCAAATGGACATTATAATTTAAAAAATATAGCTTTGGGAGGAATCATTTTAAGCTGAGACTATCTGTAACCAGTTGTCACTGAAATCAATTAAACATATATTAATAGTATCCCACAATATTTGTGTTTTAATCTCCTCAAATAGAAAGACTGCTGCTCCCAGAACTGCCTGCCTTCAGCAAGACCACTTTAAATAAATAAATTAGTTTTCAGTTGAAAGAAATAGTGAGTCAGTTATTTAGAAAGCGCTCCAACTGAATGCAAAATATGGTTTGTGGATGGGAATAAATTCAGAACTGAGGAACTGGATTATTCTTATAAATTTTAAGGTATTTATGCACCATAGGCTTATGTCAAAACATTTTTATAGTCCTTGCATAACGAATTAGGTAAGTTACTGTTACATTTTAATGCCACAAGCATGCTTCAGATACCTGCATAATTCTTTGTATATTTCAAATAATTGAATTTTTAACCAATTTGACAAAATCAGTTTTGATATAAACTATTTTGATATTGAAAAAAATGGAATTCTGATAAAAACTGTTATACTTACCCCAGCTCCATCATGCCATCTACAAATTCTTTTTTACTGAATTCACACTGAGTGGCTGCCCGGAATTTCCATGCTATGACCAAAACACTGATACTAGCAGGGTCCAGACTTAAATCATCACAAAATTGCTGAATTCCATCAATGCCAATTTTATTGTCATCCTGTGGGTCTGTATTTGAAAACAAAAAACAAAACAGGATGTTATGTTACATTTTACATTAAAGATGTGTAGCCTTTTCATAATCACACAATGTTATTCTGATTTTTAAAACTATAACTTTATAGTTTCAACTCTTTTACTACCTAAAAAATATAATCATATAAATCAGGTCAAAAAAGGAGTTAATGGCAATTTTGTATACTGTATATAGAAAGGTTCATTTTATTTAAAATTGTAGTAATTATAGCAACAGTATTGATATTTAAAGCACAACCGTCAAACATAAAAACACATGGTCTTAACAACACTGTGGTTTTCTTCCAATATGAGCAAGTAAATTTATATGAGAAATATAGAGTACATTTTGCTGAGGTGAAAAGTAAAAAATTTGAGACTGATTAGGGTTTAGAATCACTGTTGCTGAAATTGTTAACCCCTATTATTTCAACAAAAAGTTCCTGCTATTTTAAGCAACATAGGTCTCTAGTGGGTTGATAGGCAGACTTCTGTTTCTTCATATCACACCATCATTCTTTAGACATCAGCAGCTAAAAAAAGACACCTCTTTGCACATGCTACACTTCTGAAATATTATTTGTTTATCCCAAGTAGAGCCTTGTAAAGAATGCTGCCAGAGATTGTCAAATCAATTTCCCATCCAGAGTGGATAATAATCGATTTTTTTAAAAAAAATTAAAAAATCAGTTTTTTTTTATTTTTATCAAATTTATTTTAATAAAATGCTTTAGGAGTAAAAATCTATCTAAATATAGTTTTCTATTTAAGATACATTAATAATTTAGTTTATTCGGCATGAAATGGAGCTTAGTTACGTAGCATAGGGCTGTATACTCTGCAATATTTACATTTTTGGTAAACTCAATGAATCCAACCTCTTCAAGCTGAGATAACATGCACTGCATTGATGCATTCACACAATTTCACAGTAACCATGAGATAAATCATAAAACAAAGTTCAGGAATATTCGTTTATCCCATTGTTTTGCAAATCTATGTACATTACAAACTGTATGATTGTTTGAAGAGAGATGCATCTATACCAGGCTCTAAGTGTTTTAGTTAAATAAAAGAATTTGAGTAGTTTTTCAACTATGTATGATTAACCCATTAACCTAAAATCGGTTCTGATATTGCTGTTTTACTAACCTGACAGCTTATTATTCTAAATAGGAAACCTTCATTTTGTTTGCAAATAATACTAAGGATTCTAACTACCAGCAAGAATGAGTCCTTACATTTAAAGAGCACCTGTCATTTCAGATCCATCACAGCAGCGCCTGTTAGCGGGCATCTACTCACCTGTTGCCCGCCATGTCCCTAACCTTGTTGTGTCACTGCTGCATTACCAGCCGTCCCATTAAAGTGAATGGGACTGTTGGGGAGTCAACAGTGGGTCAAAGGAGGAGCCACTGTGGGACAGAGATGACAGTTGCTCTTTAAAAATTATTATTTAAATTGAGTTGATTTAAATCAAGCCTTTTTACTAGTGATTTAAATCATGATTTAAATAGGCTTGATTTAAATCAAATCCACCCTGTTCCCAGCTAAAAATAAAAACAAAAATAAAAGTTCTATTCTCCCAGAGAAAATAGCTAAACCTTTAGAAAGTATTTCTGCTTCAGTTTACATATTGTGCCTTCCTCCTTTTATGTGGCATATAGGTAAAAAAGGTGATACTTGTTCTTTAACCACATGCTTAACCTAACTACAGATGGTCCTCAACTTACAACCCTTTGTTTAGTGACTGATCAAAGTTGTAACACACTGAAACAAGTGAATTATGAGAGTTTTTCACATTTACGACTGCTTCAGCAACCTCATGGACACATGATAAAAATTCAGATGCTTGGCAACTCGATCATATTTATGACGACTGAAGGGTAATGTGATCACTTTTTGTGATCTTCTAACAATCAAAGTCAATGGGAAATCCAAATTTATTTAAGAACCATGTTACTAATGTAATAACTGCAATGATCCATTTAGCAATTGTGGTAAGGAAGCTCATAAAATGGGTCAAAACTCACTTAACAACTATCTCGCTTAGCAACAGAAATTTTGGGCTCATTGGTGGTCATAATTTGAGCACTACCTGTACTGCAGCTGAAATTAGCAAGAAGAAGTTTCAAGCTATAGCTATTCCAATATCAATTATTTTAACTATTTCTTATATGCATCTTTGGGGGAAGCCATTTCCATCACCACTAATCACTTGCACTTCTCTCTCTGTGCTTGAAGTGCTGATAACCATGTAAAGCTCGAAAGGTACTTATTTAGGGCAAAGGAAATAAAGCATTCTGTTAAATATTAGATATCTGGGTAAGGCAGAATGTGCCTGACTAACTTTTGTTTCAAAAAAATCGGAGTACCCATATCCTTATAGGAAAAGGTCTTAACAACATTTTCAAGTATTCCACTCCCATGCTAAACAACAATTCTATGGCGCGGATGTTTTAAAGAATGTAAGATGTAATTGACAGGAGATGGCTTGGAAATGCAAAGAAAACCATTTGCAATGCTCTGAGAAATCAGTGTTGTTAAAATAATACACTCACAATTGCATCAAAGCATTAGTTAAGGGTAAACCTCTACACATATTATTTATGCTCAATGACCAGCAAGATAAAAACCATGTCAGTCATATGTGACTTAAAAACTTACGATGTAAAAAACGTTAATAAACTAGATTAAGTAAGAAAATATACAATGTAAAATTTATGAGAATAAACTAAATTACAACATACAATTTAATAATGTCACTACTCCAAGATTAGGTCATTTACGCCTTTTTATAAAAACTGCTGTAGGTAACTACTTAGTAATTTTATTGGTAATAGAAACATTGTGATCTGAGAGTAAGAAAGAACCATCTCTCCCTCATAACAGATTTCATTTTTGCTAGGATATGTTAAAGGTATATCTACAACCAAATTCTTGTAGAAATGGGAAAGATTTATAACTTAGGGTCTTAGGTTCATTCAGACCACAAAGACAGTTTCTTTTGGTGAATGGAATCCTGCTGTACATTTCTAACCTGATACTATAGAGGATAAAGTGTTGAAATGAGGCAAAGAAAAAGCCATTCAGCATATTGGTCAAATAAGACTGAATAAATAGCTTGTGTTGGAACCAGCACTGAGAATTGGCTACAATTAATACCCAAATCCTTCTGCCATGCAATGCCAAAAATTCCTTTACAGATTTCAAATTTAGCTCTAAATCTAGAAACAGAAAAGAAAAGACCAATTACAATTTTTATTTCCTACCTTGATAAATGTTTTCAAAGAGAATTAATAGGGCCAATGAATCAGTGCTAAACAAAAGTTTAAGCTAGTAGGAGATTAAGCAAATGTGCCTCTAATGAGAATATTTCGGGTGAGTATTAAAGTACTTGAGAAAGTTTCGGGTGAGTATTAAAGTACTTGAGAAATAACAAAGGATTTTGTAAAAACCTACATTGGACAATGTCAAAGGGCCTTGAATCATTAAAGGTGCATACCTGTGTAGCACATATTTAAGGTAGAGTTTTAGCTTTAAAAACAAGTTTACATTTATCTGTCTGTCTGTCTGTCTATCTATCTATTTGATTTTTATCCTGCTTTCATTACTTTATAAGTAACTCAAGGTGGTGAATATACATAATACTCCTTTGTCTTATTTTCTCCACAAAAGCCTGTGAAGTAGGTTGTCTCAAGAGAGAGCAAATCACCAGCCAACTTTCATGCCTAAAGTGAGACTAGAACTCACAGTGTCCTGATGTCTAGGCTAACACCTTAACTATTACAACAAACTGAAAAAAAACCCAGGATTGCTTTGGCAGTACTGTTAGCTTTGGCAGACATTGAGACTAATTTGTTTTCATTTTCTGTTCACAAAAATCACCGAATAGCACAACTTTCCTACAGTCCACCATTGTCCTTTTCAATCCTTCACCAACAAGCACAGACCTATATGAAGTGCCTTTATGAAGTTTGACATTAATGCTTTTTTAAAAAATATACCTTACCAAAAAACTAAATTTATAAATACTAATAAATACATTATCATTACTTTTATCTTCTCATTGGAGATTTAAGATTACCCACCAGTGGAAATTAATATTCATCCCTTCCCCGTTATTGCATCTTCAAATCAATTTCAGAGTTACAGGACTTTCCAGAGCAGATATAATATACATGGAAGGAAATACAGAGGGAGGAAAGCCAAAAGAAGCTTGTTCTTAGATGTTTGATAAAAATTAAATAAAATGCAGCCTTTATGATTTATTTCCTCAGAAATATACTTGGAAACCCAGTTTTATGGAAAAGAACTAAAATCACAAACAAGGATTATGACTAACTCAAAAAGATAACTACCGTAAGTGTGTAACATAAGTAATCTTTTTTCCACTTTTTATATACAGATAGTCCTCGACTTACAACCACAATTGAGCCCCAAATTTCTGTTGCTAAGCAAGACATAAAATGACCTTTTTGTGACCTTTCTTACCACAGTTGTTAAATGAATCACTGCAGTTGTTAAGTTAGTAACATGGTTGTTAAATGAATCTGGCTTCCCCATTGACTTTGTCAGAAAATTGCAAAAGATGATCACATGACCCTGGGATGCTGCCATCATCATAAATATGAATCAGTTGCCAAGCATTTGAATTTTGATCACGTGACCATGGGGATGCTGAAATGATTATGTGAAAAATGGTCATAAGTTACTTTTTTTTCCAGTGTTCTGGTAACTTCGAATGATCACTAAATTAACTGTTGTAAGTCAAGGACAACCTCTACCCCCCTCATTTGAATATGAAAAATACTGATAGGACTAAACATAGAAAACTCATAATTGATCATTTATCCTCAGCAGCTATACAAGGATTAAAAAATAAATGTAATAAAATTATTTTGTGTCACAAAATGTATAGCTGAATTGCCAAATAACTGAGGGATGTCCGAGAAATGGAAATGAAATAATCATGAATTTAACATCCCCTCACTAACCTGAGGCTGCAGTGAAATTGAAAAAGTAACCCATTTTCTTGTTTTACTGACTTTCTAAAAAGCTATAGAATACCCCCAGAAAATTTTTTTAAAGGAAATAAAGAACAGTTCAACAGTGAAACAGCTATAAATATTCAATAAGACAGGTACATTTTTGTCTCCTTTTTTTTCTTTATATTCAGGCCATTGAAAAATTCATTGAACTGTATGTCAGTAATAAACAAATCACACTTCTCTTAGGTTTTTAACAAATACCCTTGTTGAATAAAGAAAATTTGTTTAGCACAGAAATCAATCAATTGCAAGGGAAGAGATAAACTATATTTGGAAATAATTATATTTGTGGATTTGATTTTTTTTAATGGTGCAAGGAAACAAGGGAATATATTCAAGAATTAAGATAACAGCAATGACCTCTGTTAGGTATGAAGACTATATGCAGCACTATGGGCAAAGTACAATCGTACAAACAAGAACTTCTGAATTGAAGACTGAACCTTTTTTTTTTTAGAAAACTAGGTATTTGAATGGTTATCCAGAAATATGCATGTGTATTAATATACAATATAGCTAAAGGAGTATTCAAAATATTTTGTTATTCATTCATCCTATTTATGATCTCTTCAATGGAGCTTAGAATCCTAAGTATGGTTACCTCTCATTTCATTGTCACAATCCTGTGAAATAGACAGGGCAGAGAAAAATTGATTGGATTATAATCACCCCACCAATCCAATAATTTACTATAATCCATGATCAGCATATAGTTTAAAAATATAACAATTCCATTTATGATTTATTCCTTGTAACCACTTTACTGTCTCTGAGATAACTGAATTATTTTCTAAAATGTTTGCAGCAATAGGAATTCAAAAGCAGAATTAACAAAGGAGTTTCAATAAAGCTTCCAACCTCTGAGACATTCTTATAGTTGAACATAATTCTATATTTCAGAACATCCATATAAGAAATTATTCAATGTTTTACCTGGATTAGATCTTTAAAAGAGAATACTTATTAACAAATATATTTGTCCTTACCTAAATTAAGAAACATTATAAATAGGAGTAGGCACTCCTTGATGGATCTAGTCTAGTGAATGCTGTACATTAACTCTTTCAGCAGTGATTTCAGTGGAACATACTGCTCAATCTTAACTAAAATACTCGTATGGAAATTGCATCTTTGGGAATATTCAATAAAAATGGTGTAACAAGTTTAAACTGCATTCACATTTTCAGGACAATCCAATTTATGCTTGTAGTTCAAGCAGGTGGTCTAGGACAGTGATTTTCAAACTTTTCACAGATTGTACCACTTTTAGGATATGGCAATATTTGAGTACCACCAGTCACCTAGCAAGGTGTCAAAAACTTAATGACCCCAAAAAAAGGAAAAAAATGATAAGTCCTCGACTTACAACAGTTTGCTTAGTGACTGTTCGAAGTTACAACGGCACTGAAAAAAGTGACTTATGACCATTTTTCACACTTATGACAATTGCAACATCCCCAGGGTCTTGTGATTTATATTCAGATGCTTGGCAACTGATTCATATTTATGATGGTCGCAGTGTCCCGGAGTCATGTGATCCCCTTTTGCAACCTTCTGACAAGCAAAGTCAATGGGGAAACCAGATTCACTTAAGAACTCTGTTACTAATTTAACAATTGCAGTGATTCACTTAATAAATGTGGCAAGAAAAGTCATAAAATGGGACGTTGTCGTGAGAATTTCTGTTGAGGATTGGCAGCGGGGTGTGTGTGTTTGGTTTTTATTCCCCTGTCTGCTGGATGGATGCAGCAGGTTTTGGTCACTTCTGTCGTGCTGGGAGGTTACCCACGAAGCATATTTGTTTTGGGGGGGATTTCGACTCCGGTTGCTAAGCTTGCTTAAACTTTCTTCCTCCTCTTCACCGGAGCCCCCCTTTGTCTGCAATGGTGGGGCAGGAAGACCCCCACCGGGCTGGGGATGATGGGGATCTGCCCTCTGCGGAGTAGGGGCAGGATTACTATGCTCTCTGTCAATCAGGTCTGATTTCCTTTCTTTGCCGCCCCCCCTGCCTCCCCTGCTTGTAGCTGCCTCTGAGCCCCTCATTCTTGGGAGTTAGCACTGCCGGCATCTCTTTCTCCTGAGCCCCTCAGCAGAACCCAGGCAAACCTCAGGCAGCTCCAGCTGAATCTCTGCCCTAAGACTGCGTGCGGCTGCCTGCCACCCACAAGGCTGCCACCGATCAGCTGGAGCAGTGCGCACCGATCCTGGACTCTCAGCAGAGTCCCGGTGATACCTCACGCAGCTCCGGCTGACTCTCCCACAGGCCTGTGCGGTGCTGCCGCCGCTTCACCTCATCCACTTTTATACTTTTTTTTTTACAGGGCTTTTCAACCCGTCCTATGCGTACTACTTGCCAGGTGCTGAACTACACACCAGTGGTATGCGTACCACCAGTTGAAAAGCCCTGGTCTAGGAGATGGAATACAATAATATAATTTTGGAACTCATTTGTGGTCGTAAGTCGAGGACTATCTGCATTAGTGCCCAGATGTTTATATATTTTAAATTAAAACTTTAGATTTTTTTTTAAGAGAAAGCTTTACATTTAATAAATTATACTATCTAAACACACATACACATATACACACAGAATAGTATCACTGTACTCATGTTTATAGTTTGATACTGTTCATGCTTACTAAGTCCCACTATGTTCAGTAGGGCTTACTTCTTAGTAAATATACTAGAACTGTAGCCCTTTTTTCCCCTGAAGGTGTAAACTGAAGTGGAAATCAAGCTCAAAGGAAAAAGTGAAGAAGTAAACCTTACCTTTGTACCTGTTATACAATTGTTCTAATTTCTTTCTGTCTATTGAAATTTTCATGGATTCTTTGTAGTACAAGTCTGGATTCTGGAAGTAGTTGTCTGTTGCCACTTCTAGTTTCCACTCATTCTGCATTAAGCAGTATATAGCAGTCCTTTCACCAGCCTGGGTAACTGCCATAAACTGGCGGACCTTGTCCTTCTGAGCCGATTTAAGCTTATGCTTTGGGATGCAAAAGAAGCAGGAAAGCCAATGAAGCTAATCCAGATGTTTGTTTCAGAATTTTACTAAAATCGCCTGTCTTTAAAAAATATTGTATTCTTTTTTTGGAGTAATAACATTTCATTTCAGAAAAAATAAATATATCTTATTTCATTACAGTAAAAGACAATTTTCTTTTGAAAACTGAAAAATTAACTGAACCTAAATATTTTCAACACACAAATTAAAAATCTGAGGGCAATTCATTTCAGTCTTAACTTTATGCCTCTAGTTTTCCATGTAAAAAGACATAACTTTTTACATAGTGGCTTTCCATTAAATGCATAAATCATTCAGTGAAAGAATCTTTACAATGATACCAGTAACCCTACAATAAATGACCAAAAGTATCCCATTCTTAATATAATATGAATATGTGATTATACTGTGATAGATTAAGAAGTTTAAAGCTGAAAATTATACACAATTACTTGTGCCTTATTTTAAATAGTCATGCAGAGGATTACACATTAGTTGCCATATAAGTGGTGCTGCAAGTAAAAAAAAGCAATTTCAGGAGTAAGCCCTTCATAAATATTGCTTTACATTATAAAAGTAACACTTTTTAAATATGCCCTATAAAAACACAGCCAAGATAAAATAATGTCAATGTATAATTTTATACAACATTTCTATGTAGGTTTTGATGGCATTTCTGAACAATTAACAGGGACCTAAAATATCCCTAAGATTTATTACACACTTTAAGACTCTTCAACAAAGAATGCCCCTCTACAAACAAATCATTTTAGTTAAGAAAATGAACAAGTTTCAAGCATAATTTGGCCTGCACAACTATGATTCTTCATTTCTGAGTCTAAATAAATTGCATAAAAGCAGCAATCTTGATACAAGTGTGTTAAAAAAAGACATCGTAATAAAATGAAGACCCTAATTTCTGTATTTGCCACGCAAACTTAATATTTAATTCTTTTAAGTTCTATTTTCACTTAAGAATGCACGATTTCTTATTTACTCTAGGTTTCCTAATTCTCTTTTGGGTGAAAACGGGGCTTATCAAAACGGCTTGCAAGAAACCAGAATGGTACGTTTAAAAAAGGAGAGGGAGTTGCAATTTCAGGTGTTCAAATGGGTTTTTGCTCCCAACTAGGGATCTTCTTTTAAATTTTGTTCTCCATCAAAGAAGACACTCACCGAAAGGGATGTCAGGGAAAGAAAAGTGGCGGGGGGGGGGGCAAGGAGAGGGTTGGGGACTGGAATAGCGAAGGAACTATTTCACCGTGTGAAAGGAGAAGGGAAAGTGCAATCCCCGAAAGAGAGAGAGAGAGAGAGAGAGTGGGCTCCTTCCTCCCTTGGGGGGCTTTCCCCGGGCCTACAGGCTTTCCTTTTAAGCCAGCTCCTGAGAGAACAGGTGAAGATCTCGGGGGGCATCCACAGGAGATGGGGCCCCTCGGCCGGTCTATAAAAAGCGAAAGGAAGACAAAGCTTGGGCCAGGGGAACCCGGAGCAGGGTCGGCCAGCAGCCACCTGCCACCTTCTCCCCTGCCCAAAAAAGGGAAAGGTACGTGGCGAGGGTGGCGGCGCTTTCCCTGCCCGGCCCGGAGCTCCTTCCCCACGCAACCGCGGAGCCCTCCCGTCCCTCCTGCCGCCGCGTTGCGTCCGCGGAGGCTCCCTGCGCAACTCTCTCGCAGCCTGCGCGCCCGTTGCCCCCTCCCTCCCTCCCTCCCTCGCGAGCTCCCCATGACGCGGCGGGCGGGGAGGGGGCGCCCGGAGTAGAAGAGCGCCCGCCACTCTGCCCTTTGCTCGCGGGCGGAGGAGACCCTGCTCATCCCGCAGGAGGATCCTGGCCTCACCGCTCTCCCCGTCTCCTTCCCCGAGCGCGCGGAGGGGGTTCGTTCCAGGTGGGGGAAATCCCCCCAATCCCCCCCCCCCACCTACCATTTTATCGGCAGCGCCTTCACCCAACTTCACTCGCCAGCGCGGCCGCTGCCGCCGCTGTTACCGCTGCCGCCAGTACAGCTTGTTTCTGCGCACGCGCGGCTCGTCTTTCCCTTTACTCTTCTCTTTCTCCTCCTCCTCCTCCTCCTCCTCACCCCCCCCCCCGCTCGCGGGCTTCAACTGCCGGGCATCACCTGCACCGTACGGCTTCAAGAAGCCCCTCTGCGCCCCGTTCTTCTTTTTCTCTAGCTCCCGCTTACAACTACTTCGACCTGGAGGAGGCGGAGGAGACTCACGCGGGCCCAGCCAGAGCTAAAACTACGTTACCCATGAGACCGTCTGGCCCAACCATCTGGGGCGTAGATTTATGGTGTAGACTTGCGCGCAGCCTGCAGCTTCCGCTTTAATTTTATTCACTTGTATTCTGCCCGTACGGTGCGGGCAGAAAACAGCGGAAAACTCACCATTTTAATCCAGTTGTGATTGGACAGAAATATATATTTTCTTCACTCTCAAGTCTATTGGTTATGGTGGCTCTTTCCCCCCCCCCCCCGGATTCCGTTCAGCGCTAGAAATTAGGCTGACCGAGGGTCTCTGGACGAACTTGTACGGAAACTGCATGACCTCTTCCCTAATCTTTTTTGCTGCTACCGAAGGAAAGCAAAACTTACATTTTGGAATTTCCCCTCGTTTGTAAGGGTAGTTTTCTCTCTCCGTGGGTAAAAAAGGGAAAACGGGCGCCAATGAAACCTACAACATTTTTCACTCTAAACTGTCGTACTTCTTTATACTGCTACTGGCCGGGGAATGGTGCTGCTTCCCACAATGCACCACCCTTTCCCGTTCACTACATTTCCCACAGCGCACCGCAGCCAGAGGCCAGAAAACTATAATCTCCAAAAGGCGCAAAAGCCGGGTAAGAGAGGCGGACAAGCAGCTAGGACCAGCTAGGTCAGGGGTAGGCAACCTCGGCTCTTTTATGACCCGTGGACTTCAACTCCCAGAATTCCTGAGCCAGCATAGCTGGCTCAGGAATTCTGGGAGTTGAAGTCCACGGGTCATAAAAGAGCCGAGGTTGCCTACCCCTGAGCTAGGTGGTCCGGAGTTTGCTCCCCCTGCCCGTCTCGCGTGGCGCTCAGGGATTGCAGGGCGGCTGAGCGAGGGCCGAAGGCTGGCGTGGGCCTAGGTTTAAAGGGCGGCGCCGTTTAAAGTCCGTCCGCTCCGATGGGGGAGGGCTGAGGGACCATTGGGCACCTGAGAGCAGGAGAGGGAAGGGCGGGGAATGGGCTTGGTGATGGGGACGTGGCTCGGACTCTCCTGGGTGAAGCGATGTCACTCGTCCGTCGGCGGAGCCGGGAAAAGAAGGGGGAGTGCAAATCCAGCGGTAGGGGTCGGGTTTGAGGGGTGAAGAAAGGTGAGGGGTGGTGGCACCATCAAGGTGTTTCTAGGGCAGGGAGAGGTCGGAGTGATTTTTACTCTGGTTTTAATTGGGACGGGGTGGGGGGTGGGGGGTGGAAACAAGCGAAGGAATCCCTAAACGACCTTTCCCCCCCTTCCTCTTCATCTTTGGTAGAATGCAGCTGACCTTTCCCCCCCCCCTTCAAATATGCCCTAGAAAGGGAAAAAAAGATTTTTCCAAACTGGTTTTTGTTTGAACCTGGACCTACCAGGACGCTGGTGATAAGCCTACCCTCAAATACGAATGGGGGGTTCATTACAGCAGCTTCACTTAGGACAGTGGTTCTCAACCTTTTTAATGCCGCGACCCCAACCGGTCGTAAGTCGAGGACTAAACCGGTCGTAAGTCGAGGACTACCCAACCGGTCGTAAGTCGAGGACTTTCCCTGCTCGGGAGCGCCGCGCATGCGTGGTTCCGCCCCCTGCGCCGGCCGAGGCGTAGCTGGCAAGCAGCAGAGACGGAGCAGGCTGACCACCAGCTGGCCCAGCCCAAGGGAGGTAAGGCACCCGCCGGAAAAGGGGGAAAAAATGGCGGACAAAAAAATGGCGGACAGCCTTGCTTGGCGACCCCCGTGAAATGGTCGATCGACCCCAAGTGGGGTCCCGACCCACAGGTTGAGAACCACTGACTTAGGAGAATGTGGGAGAAATGCCTCCTGAGCAGCTTTCCTCCCTGTGGTGTTTTTCAGGTATGTTGGCCACCAATGATTATCATCCTCAACTCTGCTGGCTGTGGGGATGGAAGCCCCCTAAAAGGCACCAGGATGGGAGAGGCTGGTTTTAGGTCTTACGCTTGCTTCTGTACTATATTGTCCTTCACATAAATAATGTCTATCTTATAAGCCATCAATATTAAAAAGACAGGAAGCTGGTAACCTTAATGATTCTTTAAATGAGCTATATAGAAATGCACGTACACCTAATCGATTCATCTTTAACTGGTGTTCTAACGAACATGTCAAAAATGCCATTTGTAATATAATGAATTTACTGCGTCAATGTCTATAGTAGTACCTTAAGCTTAGATTCTGACTCTGTTAAGCAAATAATTATGCAAGCAGCTATCACAGTTAATCAATAGCAGCTGGCAACCCATAATTTTGAAGGGACTGTTTAGATAAGTCACAGCCCAATTTATTTTTTCCCAGTGTTTGCAAGTTTAGTAGTGAGGATGGTTAAGAATTGTGATCTTGCTTGAAGACGGTCTTTTCTGTTGACATTTAAAATGTGTTATAGGAATGGGTATAATCAGGGCTTTTTTTGTCATAGAATGCCCAGAACGGAGTTCCAGCACTTTTTTTGGATGGAACCTTGTAGGGTAGGCAAGGGGAGTTGTATGACGTGTGAGTTCCAGCACTCTTTTTTTTTTTTTTTTAACAAAAAAAGCACTGGGTATAATTAGTTATGAACTAAAAAAATCATACTTTAACCATGAACTAAAAGGCTAACAAATGTGTACTCTAGAAGTACCAAAATAGCTGGAATGTACATATTTACTGAAGGCTAAAAATGCTGTAGAACAAGAAGATCTTGAAGGCATTGTCTCAGTGGTTTGACAAATATAAAGAAGGAAACTGTTAAGCAGAAATGTGAACTTTTAGTCAAAAAACGCCCATCTGATAAAAGAAATGAAGGCAAGTACAGGATAAGAAAAAGAAAATATGGAATAGTTGGATAGGATAAAAACATGATAGGTGACTTCCGGTTTTGCGTCACGGTGAGACGGTACGCAGGAAGACAGGGCTCTGCCTTCCATGCCCGGTTTTGCCCTGCTGGGGCCCCTGAAAAGGGCCTAAAGTCGCCCCAAAGAGGCGATGAAGAAGGAGATGTGCCTTGTTGATCACGGAGAGACAGCGGTCTCTCCGTTCGATCCAACGAAAGCCCTCTAAACTGGTAGGGGAAAGACTGGCCACACCTCTGTGGACGGCCATTGGCTGCTAAAAACTGAAGAACAAAAGCTTAATTAGCACACCGTAAACAGTATGTTTGGACTGGGTGAGAATATTGATCCTTTCTTTACTATTTTACAACTGAATTTCCTGGGAAAGGCTCCCAAGAAGCTTAAAACCTCCGGATGTGAACAGAAGCGGCGTTTTAAATGTTTTATGGAGGACAGAAATACACAATACTGAAGTGAAAGTAATACAAAGCTACAGTTTTGATAAATCTGAGAACTGAGATAAATTGTTAAGATTTTCTCTTTGGAAAAAAAATATTGAGGTGAAATATAAGAAATATAAAAAATCAACCCTTTGTTTTACGAGTGGAAAAAGGATTTTGAATGACATCTAGTGGTGGATTTGAGTATAGCACTATAACTAGCTCCTTCGCTACTTGGTGAATTTCAGTTAAGGAAGATCAGCTGGAAATAAAGGAAAATATTTTGGCACTTTTATCATCCTGACCTTCTTGGACTATAAATACCTATTGAACTTGGACTTTTAATTTCAAGAGCTAGTGGGAAAGAAAGGAAAATTTGACTTTTGAATAGGTCTGGCTGCAGGGAGGTTGAACATTTTGAACACTTGGAACATTGGGGATTACAACCTTGCCTGACTGATAATTTTCAGGATACTTGAGACAAAGGATTACTATAAAATATTGCTATTAGGACGGGATTATAAAGGCTATATAAAAAAATCAGAAAACTAGAGGAAATTCTGTTCCACTCTTACCGAGACTGGTGATACTAGAGGGTTTCTAGGAATGATGCCTCAAGAAAAAACAAGTACCTTTCAAAAGGAAATTCTCTCTATGCTACAGAAAATTCATCAAACAATTCTTGCATACAAAGAGGACATAAAAAGAAACCATAATGAGACTAAAAATAACCTAGATGACATAAAGGACCAAATCTCCAAATTGAAGCTACAACTGGAAAGCTCCCAGATAACAACTACAAAGTATGAACAAATAAACCAGAAATCAGAGGGTGAAGCAGACAAAATAGACCTAGAGATGGAGGAGATAGGAGAAGGGAAATATGGACTGCTATACAGAAATAAAATATTCCAAGACCTACCTATAACAATGAAAATACAAAAGACCTTTTACTCCTTTCTCCAAAATACACCTGATGACAAGGAAGAAGAGTCTATAAAATGGAACATAGAACGAGTAAGGGAAATGTCTAGGGAATGTGGATGGGCGAAATTCCCCCTCCCCAAATACTCTACCTAAACTATCTTTCTCATGCCAAGCAGCTTGCACAAAAATAGAAAGAAAATTCTTGGGCAATTTAATTGCCCTGTCCTGGAAAGCTGCTTGGCAAAGAAAGAAAGTGAGAGTTAGACTTAAAAAACAGAGGATTTGATCTACCAGAGGGGGCACTATCTGTTTAATATACATGTTTGAATATGATTAAAAGAACGGATGATCCTTAGATATAACTAGATATCTATAATGGAAGAATTTAGAATTAACATAGCATTTTTTTCTTTCTTTTGATATGGGAAATTTGAAAATAAATGTAATTAATATTGAGAAAATAATAACTGACAAAGATACTTTAAATACTGATGGGAAATTAAACTTTAATAACAGCATGAAAAACAGGATATTGACTTATGAATTGTTATTGTTACTTCTATAATATTAGTAAAATATGATGAAGCTGTCTATATCT